ACGTCCACCAGGAGTGGGCCTTGACTTACATACTTCATGACACCCGCGTAGTGGCGGTTAAAGCGCTCCAAATAGCTCTCATCGCCTAATAGTATGTATGCTTTCAAACAGTACTCGTAATACGAGTCAATACCGGCGCCGACGCCCGACTCTCGCCGAATCCAGTCTCCCGTATGGATATTGATTACGTTACCGACTAAGTCGGACTGTCGGTGCCTTTGCATCCATAAATAGTCCATCGCTTTCCGAGCTTTCATCTACAATACCATTAAAATTAAGTTCAATTCAATGCTTAATATAATAAAAACTGCGAAACCAAACCTCAAATATGGGATCGCCTGTGAGTCTACTTAAGGCGGCGAACTCTAAGATCATAGTCCCGGCACATGAGGTACAGGTCTCGCGAGCGAAGCCCAAGTTTGACGATTTGAGACCATGTCTTATCAAACCTCAAATATGGGATCGCCTGTGAGTCTACTTAAGGCGGCGAACTCTAAGATCATAGTCCCGGCACATGAGGTACAGGTCTCGCGAGCGAAGCCCAAGTTTGACGATTTGAGACCATGTCTTAGATTAATCTGAAAGTATATGAACGCCATTAGAGTATTACAAACCGACAGATAAGACCAGCGATTGACTAACCCTTGGATGAGGTATACCAGTGGTTGTGTTGAAGGCGGGCAACAATCGATAGCCGAGATCTTTGGCCAACTCTAACAGTTGACTCGAATACCAGCCCATTATGTGATGCTTTTCCTGGAGATACTCAGCGAGTATGTGAGCGCTGATGAGACCGCCGACCATTCGGATGTTGGTCTCGAACACAGACACCACTACATCCGTGTCGAACTGCACGTCTCGTATCACTCGCGCCACCGACCGCTCAAACTCACTGTAATTGCCAAATATCTATCGTTTCGAGACAACAATCAATTCATTACAACATATATCACACACACGAGCCATACAACAGTCCCAATGGGTGTGTGTCTGAGTACTGACCACAAGCGAGTCCAGTGTATCGACGAGTGTGAGTGAGAAGTTGCCCAAAGCGTCGTCGACATCACCCCTATTGGGTTCGCTGTCACGATAGCGACCCTTACAGGAGAGGGGC